TGTTGTCGCGCTGTGATGACGTCAGCTACGCGGTTTCGTCGAGCGCCCTTTAGTCGAACGCGGTTTTGTGGTGGCACCATTTCTAATGACAAAGGATTAATTATGGAAAGGTTTCAAATGCTTCTTAAATATTCCTCCTCTCCATAATAATTCTCAGCAAGAGTTTTCCTTCTATTCTTAACATAGGAAAACAGTGATTTTCACCATGTAATTTGACAGCATGCATATTATAATTATTATAAATTGGTTATAAAATAATTTATTTCTGCTGAAGAAAAAATATAATCATCAGTAAACAATATGATGCCTCATAAAACATCTGGAAAAATTCAAACAGAAAAGGTTTCCCCCCTTTTTTCTTTGCAAGATTTTTTGAGGGGAAAAAAAATCTCCTATAGAACAATTGCCTCTCAGTGTGTTTATTTCACGTTTGTCTAATAAACATGGCATCTCACTTTGTCTGTATTATATTTGGTTAAAAGTTCTTAAATAGGGATACCTGGAAAATCCTGGGAATATCTTTAGAATCTGCTCTGTACACGTCCGTTTGTGTGACAGGTCGAACATGGAACAGTTTGCTATAGTAGCGGAAATGCGGACATAAAACAAAAATGTACGTTAATTAACCACGAATCACGTAAACATGAAGCCTTAATGTAGCAACACTTCTAGAAGTTTTCCTATTTATTCCAAAGAGCTCATCTTGGACTTTAAAGAAGATTTCAATTGTGCTCTTAATCCAAATTCTGATTTTTAAAAGCTTTCTCAAGGTTCCATCCAGTTACAATATATATGTCTGTAGAATGGATCCTTCCCCATGCATCCATTTTGGATTAATGTTCTTATTTACCCATTAAAATTTATTAAATTTGGACCATTTAAAATCATAAAACCCTAAAAACTGTATTTTAATGACACAAAAGTTGGTATAGAATATTTAAAAATTCATCAAAGGGATCCAATTTATTTTAACTAACTCACTAACTAAACTCAACATATTGAAAGATGAACTTTGTTAATAGGGTTCCAGAATTGCAAAAATATTGACCATATTCAGAAGGGGGGGGCGGGAAATCACAATACTTACTCTATGTCCAGTACCATATATGGATTGGATTGTTCCTTATCTTGTTCATTATGATAGAACAGTATCTTCTTGCTGCTGACTATTATAAACTGTTAAACAACACAAATGTAAGTATAAGTTGAAAATTGATTTTATTTATATAATAAAATTTTGTATGGCAATTTTTTTTGACAAAATGAAAGTACGTGAAATGCTATTTTAATATGGCAATTTAAGGACCAGGTATCTTCCAATCTGGCTAGCAAAAAATATAAGAGAATAGCTTCTCTTCCTACAAAACGTATTTCATCTTAAACTTCAAACAAAGTATCCTAGCTTTTAGTTATTTATTAAATATATTTCTGTGCCACTGCAATAAAAACAACTATCAAGCACCTTCCTTAGAAAAAATATAGCATTATGTGAATGTATACCTATAACTGCATGTAAGAGAATAGATGACAGTAAAAATACGTTTTGTAGGAAGAGAAGCTATTCTCTTATATTTTTGCTAGCCAGATTGGAAGATACCTGGCCCTTAAATTGCCATATTAAAATAACATTTCACGTACTTTCATTTTGTCAAAAAAATTGCCATACAAAATTTTATTATATAAATAAAATCAATTTTCAACTTATACTTACATTT